CCTGTATCCCCCCCCCCAAAACTTTCTTGGGGGGAATCACAGGCTCTGGGACAGGCTCTGGGACGTGGAAAGTCTCTGGCTGGGCTAGCGGTGAAGGCCCGGCTATGCTGGATGGAACCAGTGGTGAAGGCTCAGAAGGGCTGGACGGGACCAGCGGTGAAGGCTCAGAAGGGCTGGACGGGACCAGCGGAGAAGGCTCTGAAGGGCTGGACGGGACCAGCGGAGAAGGCTCTGGCTCGGCCAGCGTGACGCGAAGCTCCGGCCCGGCAGGCGTGACGCGAAACTCTGGCTCGGCAGGCGTGCAGGTAAGCTCAGGCTCGGCAGGCGTGCAGGTAAGCTCAGGCTCGGCAGGCGTGCAGGGAAGCTCAGGCTCGGCAGGGCTGCAGGGAAGCTCAGGCTCGGCAGGGCTGCAGGGAAGCTCAGGCTCGGCAGGGCTGCAGGGAAGCTCAGGCTCGGCAGGGCTGGACGTGACCAGCTGTGAAGGCTCGGCTGGGCTGGACCGAACCAGCGATGAAGGGTCGGCTGGGCTGGACGGAACCAGTGGTGAGGGCTTGGCTGGGCTGGCTGGGATCAGTGGCGGAAGCTCTGTGTCCCAGTCAATAAGCTCCTCCTCTTCCCCTGGACCGATGGTGAAGGGAGAGCCACAGCTCGCCAATACCCACTCAACAAAGGCAGCGAAGTTCCCCCGAGGCCCATCTCCGGGCAGGCATGCTTTGGTCTCAGCGTTGAGGCCTGCCCAGAAGAACACACAGAGGCTGGTGTCATCAAAATTAACTAGAGGTACCAAGTCCAAATACCTCTGTGTGTGGGCCTCGAGGGACTGATCCTCCTGGGACAGGAGAAGGATTTGGACTGCTGCATCCATCGATGTTATGGTCGGTTCTTCTGTTACGGGTGTGGTGCAGGTTGAAGGAGAAGCAGCAGTCAACAGGTCCAATTCAAATATACTTTACTCAATAACAAAACAAGGATCACGGGGGACAGTAACACACCATTCACAAACGAGAACCGACAAGGAGTGAAGGAGAAAACAGGGTTTACATACACAGAGAACAGATAGGGGAAACAAGGCACAGCTGGGGCAAATTAACCAGACACAGGTGAAGGAACTGAACACAAACGAGGAGCGGGAAAACGAACACAGGACTAAACCAAATACACAATGAACGGGGGGAAAGTCAGGACACACATGTAACAATGTTGCAGTGCATTCTGGGTGCCACCAATCAAAACTCATTCATGGCTCCCATCATGCATTGCTGCATGAATAAATAATGAGCTTATGTTCAGATGTGATCTGTTTATCACCATTGCTGAGATTCATACGCTAAATCTTGATGTATGTGTGTCTAAAAATAATATACAGTAATATGTATAAGAACAACTTAGAAGAAATTGTTTGCATTATGATGTAATCGTTGAAAATGTAATGCTGTACAAGGACAGTGTTGCTATAATTAATAACATAAATCTAATTCAGAAATTGGGCTTTAAATGAGTTTAGTTTAGGATTCAGGTCAAAAGTTTGTGAAATAATGATTATGTTAAAACACAACCACCACCATCAGATCACCTTTTCTATTTGATCATCTGGCTGTTATAACTGAGTTACAGCAGTCAAACAAAATATAAAGTTAATGATCAAAGGGTCAAGAGCCCAACTAAAACTTATCACCATAACGGTGACTTAAAAATTATGGTTTTCTCCTTCAGTGATTCTGCTTGTTAACATCAGGTAACTTCAATAATGCTCAATCATCACTCAATTATTCACTTAATTATCTCATTAACTTTAACACTGCTTCAGTGTTACTTATAACACTCTTGAGTGTGGACTGATATAAACACTGAGCAGTGTTAATTTAACACTGGGGATTTTGCTGTGTACTTAAATATACAAGTACACTTGAAATCAACACTAAGTTAAGTTAACTTTATTGTTTAAGTACATTAAATAATCGTCAAGTTTGGTGAACTAAACAGTTTAAGTCAAGTCTACATAAGCACCAAGTTAAGTACACTTAAATATGCACGTTTTGGGAGACCCCATTACTCAATTAAATTGAGGGAACGAGTTTACTCAAATCAATTGAGTTCAATCAACTTATTAGTGTTTTCAGTGTTAACTTTCAGAACTTGTACAAATGATGCTCAATCATCACTCAATTAATCAATTAATTATCTCATTAACTTTAACACTGGTTCAGTGTTACTTATAACACTCTTGAGTGTGGACTCATATAAACACTGAGCAGTGTAAATTTAACACTGGAGATGTACTGTATTACAAAAACACTTGTATATGGGTATTAAAGTTTATTTATCAAGTTTAAAGTATCAGATTTAAAAATAAAAATCAGTTTATTTCCATTGCGATCAATAATTGTAATATAATGAAAGCCATTTGTTTTCTGGTAAAATAAGAATGACACCTTGCACTTGAAGAAAGCATGTATGAATGTATTAATTTCACAGTCAAGAAAACAACATTTGTGAAAATGACCTTTTGTAAGGATTAATCAGGATTTTGAGCTCACAGCACTTGAAATCTTAAGTTTATGTATTTTGAAGGTAAATAAGTTATTTGAACTTATATTTTTGAGTGACAGGGCCAAAATGCTAAATTTAAAGTAATGTTTAGTCAAGTACACTTGATTGTTTAAGTAAAGACAACATTAGGGTTTACAGTGGTTCTACTGGTTTTTGGATATTTAAATCCCAAAATTGTGCATATAAATAAGCAAACTAATAACGAGTGACAAAAGTCTAAAGTTTCTGTTCAAATGACATACTCAGCTTTTTGCTGTGCTTTGGGGCAGGGAATGTGAGTTTCTCTCTCTTCACTGCATTCAACACTCATCATGGCTTTATGATGCACGTGATGCATCTGCTCTCATCAGCCTCAAGCAGATCCTCAGCTTTTGTTATCACTTAATAAAGCAAATGTTCAAAAATAGCCTCAGCCAGGAGGTTAATAATATCTAACAGTTTGAAGTGATTTCTGGCTTGGAGCAATACGACGTCTATGACAGATTGCATCAACGAGACTGATAATTCCTTCATGCACAGAAGAAGCTTTATTTAATCAAATAAAAGCATAATCTTTTTTCATAATGGTATTCTCGATATTGGAGTATTTCTATTTTTCTGTGCCATATGTTTTAAAAAGCACTTTTTATGACAGTGCATAAACTCAGAGAGTTCTGAACATCTCTTTAGTGGAGGTTGTTTAAAAGAGCTGGTAATGGTATGTTTTAAAAAATTGAAAGATTTTGTAATATGATGTTCTGGCCCTTAAAGATGAAGCGAGAACATTCATAAAGTGAATAATTCAGTAGAAATGTCATCTTGGAAGATGAATCTTGATGAGATGAAACTGCGGTTTGAACAGTCATTCTTAAACATTATTATTGATTTTTATTATATTACTTATAATTATTTTATTAACTGTTAGCTTACTAACGGTTTGCACACAGATTATTCAGGACATTTGGTATATTAACATCTGGGTATATTAGCCACCTTTTGTTTAAATCAAGTTTATTGTTAAATAATGTTTTGTTTGTTGTTTAAATCAGTTTACAATGTCTATAATTCAAAAGCACATGATGTAAAAATATAGGCCTATGCTATACATGTGCAATAGCCGAGGGTGTTGCATAAAGCTCCTCTCATCACTCGTCATTGCATCGCTTGGATGTGTCAGATGACGCAGCGCATTTGCTTGTGTCCAAATAGAGCTTTTAGCCAAATCAGATGTAATTCAAGCAAGCCAATCGGTTAAAAATCATTACAAAAAAAAAAAACACTAGTGCGTCATTGCATCTGAATATCAACATTTGTGAGATTTAGTCAGTCGAAATAGTTTTGATGTTAATTTGGTAACGCTTCCTTTTACAGTGTTACCCATGTACATACTATGTACTTATTATAGTAATTACAATTACTGGGTAATAACTAGGTACTAACCCTGAACCTACCCCTAACCCACACCTTATATTAGCCAGTACTTTCTAGGTAAGTACACTGTAAGTACACGTAAGTACTGTACTGTAAAAGGAAGTGTTACCGTTAATTTATCTAGTTTTGTGTCTCTGGAAAAAAGAGATCTGATATTGTATTAAGTTTTTTTGTGTCTATTTGTCAATGAGGGGTTTGTGGACACAATCATGTTTTTAGATTTGTGGAGTAAAAGTTATAGATTTGAGATTATATAGATTATAGGTTTTATTTTGAAGTAAAATGATACAATTAGAATCCGTTGGGGTAAGATGAGCCACTCAGAATTGGCACAGAAGGCACCAAGTGGCATGTTTGTTATTATATGTAATAAGTATTGTAATTAATGGGGATATTATTCAGTATTTCCATGAATTAGATGTACATTTCAGATATCTGCGCCTCTTTGAATAATTTTACATTTTGTTCTATGATTTTCCTATTGATTTACTATAATAACACATTGGCTGATGCATCATCATTCCGCACATGCCAAACTTATATCTAAATATGTTATTATTTAAAAGTAAATGCACATTATTCTTAAGGGGGGCATATTCCCTTATGTTATCCTATATATGTAAACATTAATGTGTAATTGTCTGTAATGGTCATATATCGTGATTCTGTTGATTTACTAAATTGACGAGTATGTGTTATAGTGTTTGGAGAGATTAAGCCATAATTGGGTCAATATTTATCAAGGCTATTTTAAGATTTCACGGTGTTATCATTGGTGTTTCATAACATAACTGTTTGGTTTCATCAGTTATTGATTAGATATCAGCCTCACCGCAAAAATATATTTGTGTAATTGGACGTTTGTCTCCAAACCATACTCAGATTTAGCCCTTTGTGCTGTAACTATAATTCAAAATTAAAAAAAGGAATATTTACAGCCCAATATAGGTAATAGGAAGAGTAGGCAGTTCAAGTCTCAGCGTGTTTGACTGTCAAAGATAAAAAAAAAGTTGCATAAATAATTCTTTAAGGGTGGCGTGCACGTGCATGCCTGCAGCTGAATTCGTCAGCAGAAGCGCGCCGAGCCGAGCACAGTTACGCGCGCACAACAGCGACGCTCGCGAGGATGAGAGAGTTCAGTTCATCTCAACACAACAACATCACATCTGCAGAGAAGAAGGGAATGGAGTTATCTCTAATGGCAGCACAGGTAAGATTTACTACCTCGGTTTTGTCCATAAAATGTTGTTCTATGTATAATTAAGGGTGATTAGTTGACTCACAGATGGCTGAGGAATAGCGTGGTGCGACACTGCTTGATTGTCTTTCTCATCAATCTGGTTTTCAATGTAGAGGGGAACTTTTGGTTGCTGGTGCTCCGAGTGTTTTAACTATATTCTTCAAAAGAAAGTTAAAAGGAAACATTTATAGACAACCCTCTGGTTTCTCAGGAAAGGCTTAAGCTAGTCCCAGACTAAAACACAAGTCTGAGCTGAACGCAACTTGCACTGATAGCCTATATCTTAAAATATGTCACTTACATTGTTTTGTCTCAAGATGCACATCAGTAATGTTTTTTTTTTCTAATGCACGATTATTAAACCTACTCAAATGTCTTTATAACTAAGGCTTAATCCTGGTTTAATCCAAGCCCTGTCTGTGTTACCATTTTAAATAGATAAAATAATAATAATCAAGCCAAAATAAAAGATTATGAGAAATTACATATAAAAAATGGGAGCGTATAAGTCCTGTAGAATAAGATTATTATTATGCCTTCCATTCATTCATTTAAATAGTTTCAGTTAATTTATTTTAAATTGAAAAATAATTTAAAATAAATTCTGACCTATTCACAATAATCAGTGCTTGATATTAACTTTTTTTGCTCACCAGCCTCTGTGGCTTGTGGTTTTCCAAAGCCACTCATGCCTTTTCACTGGCCACAATTTTGACATTGATACAATGGGGGAAAAGTACCATATAGATATTTTTTAATATTATCTCATAATTTGGCAGCAGGTATAAGACCTGACACACGGATCCAATATACTGTTACACATGCGTTTTCTTTCTCAACTGTTTATGTTCACTTAAAACATAACTGACTGTGTTTATGTGAATACTTGCCTAAACCCGCATTTTGACATAATTTTGTGTGTATTTGACTTCAGGGCTTTACATGAAATCGCACTTAAATCGAGTTGGCTTATCGCGATAATGAAATCGCAAATTCTGTGATTTATTATTTTTTATGCGCAGCTTGTCAGCGATGATCGGCTCTGTGAACGCGGCTCGCGTCAAACATCTTTCCAAACATGAGAAGCATTTATGAGCCTCTTGTCCAACAAAAGACAACATTTAATAACATGCTTTTACTCCAAACTCACTTCATAAGGACAGTTGAGCTCATCCTCCTGTGAGATGATGCGCTTCTCACACAGAATAAGGCAGTCGTGTGTTTATTAGTCGTGTTCAATCAAAGCGTTTCAATCTTCTGTTTATTCAGATACAGCGATTTCCTAGAATGATGTGTGTTATCGTACTTCTGCGGTGGGGCATATTTGGTGTGTGTGTGTGAGACGCCCTGGTGTTCAGATGGATATGATGTGTGTGTGTGTGTGTGTGGGAGCAGCGTTTACTACCGATCAGCCGTTGCACTGACATACTGCGCATAAAATAATCGCAGCCTTTGCCAAATCGCGCGCGGTTTCATTGCGATTAATCGCGCAGAGCTAATTTGACTGTTTAAGTGCAAGAAAACCAGCTTTATTTGTGTGCACTTTGGGTGTGAGCTCAACATTTGTGGGAATGAGTACAATTATGTGCAATTCCCCACAGAAATTCAAGCCCTGTAACAACAACAATATTCCTCCGGAGCAAATGAAACGAGTGTGTGAGGAGAGGCGGGTATAACTCGCTGTCGGAGAGATGAGAGAGAGAGAGAGCAGCTGCTATCCTATATCTATTCTGCGGGACATGTATCGGAAGCGTTTCAGATACTTCAGTATCAATATGTATTGAAAAAGTGACATTTTTGACAACACTACATTGCACTTTCAGATGCCTTTTTAAAAGACTGCAATGAAAAAGGTATATGTTATATATAAAGTTCAACCCGCTAAAGTCACTGCTGATTTGGCGAATTGATGGGTGTTAATGTCGAACCCTGCTAATAATAAAGAACACCTGAAAAGTGAGTGTCATAGTGGAGCATCTGGTGATGAAGCTGATTAATCATCCTGCTTTTCTTTCGGCACTTTATTATCAAGTGTTCAAATGTTAATTAGAATTGGCCAACGGTCACATCTGTTCCCCAACTCATACAGAACTGATCAAAGATGGAAATACGTGACCAGGGACAGCCATTAAGCGGTTTGCTGATAACAGGGAACGGTCTCAGATCTGCTTCTCTCAAAGTTATGAACAAACGTTCTTCCAGTAACGTTAATAAAACGTTCGTTCAAAGTTATCTGGTCTTTAATAATGTTCTCAAAACATTAGCACAAAAAAACAGTTCTGTTTTTTTTAATGTTTCGGTGAACGTTCAAAAGTAATGTTCCCAATATGTTTGAGGAATGATAAATGGAAGCTTCCCTGTTTGCATAACCAAGTAAAAGCGGAACATTCAGAAATACAATTTCTTAGAACATATTTTTTGTTAGCCGGTAGGTGTGAATTATTGGTGACACTAAAAATAACATGATCCGATTTTATTTCATGACTGTCAGAAGCGCTTGATTCTGATTGGTCAGATATTTTTGTATAATGACGCTGACCTGTGAAACTGACTGTTGTGGGCTGCTGCTTTTCTAAACTCTAAACATAATAAATAATTTCAACTCATATCAATATTTCATGACCATTTAGGTTACTTATTTATTTTTTTATAGGCTGTTCGCAGCTTTGAGTCAACAATCTCAGTAAGTATGTAATGTGAGGTTAGGCGATTCTTGTGTATTTGTGAATCAAAAGTGAAGTTATGGGTTCTCGACTCATATTTAGTGTACGGTTCAAGGCGCCCTTTTGAAGCCACATTCCTTCAAGTTCACATAAAAGGCATTTCAGAGTTTCTTAAGCAATGACAGTAAGAACACACACTAGCATCACGCAGTGACAGATGAGACGGAGTGTGTGTAGGAAGGGTTTAGTCTGACAGGTGATTCATTCTGCACAGGTGAGGCAGCAGACTTCAAGCAAAGACGATAATGCTAATACATGTCACTATGAGTAGTGAGGTTTCATTACCATATCATGTTTTTTATAGTATGCTTACACAGTATGTGTGTGTCATAGCTCAATTAGAATTACAAAACTCAATTATTCCTGTTTTGGTGCAAACACTTGACTAAAATTATCAGCGTGGACATATATATATATATAGATACAGGGGTCATATACAGGGTTTAGACAATATAACTGAAACACTGGCTAATATAGTGTTGGAGGATTCATGCCTATATATGCGTGGCCTGGTGGCCAATCTTCACTGATTTTACATTCCACCAGTAAGAGATTTAAAGGGGGCATATCATGAAAACGGGCTTTTTTCCGTGTTTAAGTGCTATAATCGGGTCCCCGTTGCTTCTACCAACCCAGATAACGTGAAAAGTGAAACCCAGTAAAGGTCCTTTCACACTGGACGCGATTTTGACGCACGAATAATTCGCGCGATAGTTTTATTTTTTGATCAGCTGTTTGTGTAATGAGTGCTTCCACACCGAACGCGAATGTGCTGCAGCGAAAAAACGACTTTTATTTTTTTCGCTTCGATGTCGATTTTTTTAAACTTTTTCGGCAACAGAAAAGGCTTCAGCCAATCACATACAAGGAAACAAAGGTGAAGCTTGTTGACGCATTGGCCGCTCTGACGTAGCAGCATTATGTGCGAGAGAAGTGTCACAACATGAAATGTAAACTAAAAACAAGCAATACATTAAAACTAGAAACCTTTTATAATGACAGCATTTTTATATTGCCTATTCCGCATCTCAACGCACGCATACCCTATCATTTATGACATGACGTTGTTTCTTACCAGCAAAAGAACGAGGCATGGGATAAAATAGCTGGGATAGTTGGTGTCTCCGGCGAGTTAATGAAGTGCTTGCTGATGATTTATAATATTTTTGACTAGGAGGGAAATAATTGATTCAACATTCATGGTTGTTTCATATTATTTTTGCATGCATGTAGGCCACACACCAGAGCATGTGCGTAAATAAAGCAGAGCGGGGTGACACTTAAATAGGCCTATAAGTTAAAAAAACTCAAACATACGTTTCATATATACGTTTAAATAATATAATGCTATTTTTTTTATTTCATCTATGTTGATAGCTATATGAAAAGGGAATCGCATGAGATGAGTATAAGGATCATAAGATGCCCAATATATCGAAAACATTTGGAATGGGTCAGACATAATTTTGGCCACTTATTAAGTTTTGTTTTGTAGAAAGCCTTTCTTTAAAGTGAATTTCGTTTTGTATAAATTGTATCTTAATTTTAATCAATGTTTCATCAATAAATTGCCTGGATTAATAGGAATAAGAAGCAAATATAGTAGACAATGTAATTAGGACACGGAGGCGCCGGCGCGTGAACTGGAGCGCGTCTCATACCGAAAACTGACAGAAAACACTAGTTTATTAATAAACAATTCAAATGTTTAATGCATAATCCTTACTTTGGCCGGTTCTTTGTGGCAAAGTTTTAGCTACTTTACAAGATTAGCATACTCCCCTTCAGACTCTCTGTTCTTTAAGATTGGGTGCACACAAAATCTTTTCTGTCTTTTAAAGAAAACGAAAAGCTCGTCTTCACTGGATGATGATGATGATGATGATGATGAAGTGTCCGTGTTTTCTCAGCTGTCGACGCGAAAGTTTTGGAATGTTGAAGCTCTGAACGTCGCAAATTCGCGTCGCGGCTGATATGGTTTTGACGCGAACTATTTGCACGCGAACTATTCGCTTTTCCGTTTCGCTTTTTCGTTACGCGTCCGGTGTGAAAGGGCCTTAACTTTGTTTTGGTGAGCCTTTGTCTGCAAACATACTCTACAAAAAATAAGCCAATCAGATTTCGCTCCCCTTCTGACGTAGGAAGAGGATCTTATTATAATATTACCGCCTCTTAATCTGCACGTTTCCACCCATGGCACCAACATTTGGTTTCGCAAGCGACAACAGTGAACCAGTTCTAACGCAA